TTCCCCAGCCAGCCATGAGTTGAAGTCCACTCATCTTAAAGTGGCCAAGTTTGGACAACACTGCTCTAACCAGATCTAAAACTGCTTAAGAGAGCTGCGCGGTGCCAGATCTGGACACAGGAAGAACTTGAACGTTGATGGCTAAAAGAAACAAGCCAACAGGCTTGAAAATGAAAACAAACTTGACATTTAATTGATGGCATTAATCTATTGGCGTTAAACCTTGCCTCTCTTCTGCAAAACAACCAGTAGATCTTTATGTGTTTGTTACAGCCCACCACACCCATGGCGAAGTATGTACATGAAGCATCGTACACAGTTGTATGTATGTACATACATTGTATGTGTCATTGTATGTGCATGTGACACTGATGGATGTACAAAAAGTGCAGGGCTTCAATCACGCGGCTGTATCCACCATGTTGCTTTTTTTTTGAACCCTCCTGCAGACACTGGGCGGGGGGGGGTTCCTACCCACCCTTCCTCCTGGGAGCTCTGGGGCTCCCTCCTCCAATTTTTCCTACCATAATCCAGTAGAAGTTTGGACTGAGAGATAATGACTGATCCAAGTAACCCAAAAAGCTTCTATTGCTTAGGGTGGACTTAACACCTGGATCTCTCTAGACCAATGTTTCCCAACCTTGGTAACTTTAAGATGTGTGGACTTCAACTCCCGGGATTCCCCAGCCAGCCATGCTGGCTGGGGAATCCTGAGAGTTGAAGTCCACACATCTTAAAGTTGCTAACGTTGGGAAACACTGTCCTAGACCAATGCCTAACCACTGCACCGCTCTAAGCTCTACTCCACATGGGATTGTAAATGTAGGATAGAGATGGCCAACCTTTCTTGTGTTGATCAAGGGCTCCTTGCCAGTGGGAGGGTGGGGCTGAAGCACAGTCTAAAATGGGTGTACCCCCCTTTTTTCTTTTTGGATGCCCATTTTTTCTCTTTCACACACTTTCCCCCTCTTCTTCTGACTTCATCTCAGCCATCCCCTAGCTGCTGGATGCAAGGAACCCATAGTTCTTGGTAGAGGTCTGGCTTGCCTGCATTGAGAAGGCATTCATAATTAGGCTAAAATTAGGAGGTAACCTGCATGCACCTTTATTGCTTCTGCTTCAAGATCTAAGAACTACTTAAAGACTACTCAGCTGGTGTAAAATGTGATGGTTCACCTGCTTGAGCCTGAGACCTGCTTCAGCAGGATTACAACCTTGTTGCTGGCTGATTGCTTGCCCATGTATTTCTACGTACAAGATAAGATGCTGGCTTTGACTCATAAAGCTATACATGGCTTGGATCCAAGTTATAAAAGGGACAGTCTTCTCTCTGACCGTCCCATCTGAGTGGCCCAAAAGGAGATGCTTCTTGTTCCCTCTCTTTAGAAAGTTAGGGGACAGGAGCCTGGAAGGAGGCACTTGTCGTGGTGGCTCCATCTTTATGGAACAATTTACCCCCCCCAAATCTGGATGGCCTCCCACATCTGTAGCATTTCAGCAAACCATAAAACTTGGGCTCTTCCCCTGCAGGAGTTTGAGATCTTTGTGACACAGGACGACGTTTAAACTTTCATGTTAATGTCTATGGTCGATTTACTTTTGATGCTGAGCTATTGATTTAATTCATTACTGTGGTAGCCATTCATGGTTTGTACAAGTGGGGAAAGTAGAAATCCTGTAAATAAATAGCCCAACAAATAAATAATACCTCTCTTCCTTTCCCTTCTCTTCTCCATCCACCAGATTATCAGAGTGAATATTATGGACCCGGGAGCAATTATGATTTTTTCCCACAAGGACCTCCATCTTCTCAAGCCCAGACCCCCGTTGATCTCCCCTTCGTGCCCTCCTCAGGACCATCAGGAACCCCTCTTGGGGGGATGGACCACCCTTTACCTGGACATCACCCTTCCAGCGAAGCTCAGCGTTTCACAGACATCATGTCCCACCCTCCCGGAGACTCCCCTAGTCCAGAACCCAATTTACCTGGTTCATTGCACTCCATGTCAGCAGAAGTCTTCGGACCAAGTCCTCCATTCTCCTCAATATCTGTCAACGGCGGTGGTAACTATGGTAACCACTTGTCACATCCACCTGAAATGAATGAGGCTGTTGTATGGTAGCTTTAAACACCAGGACTTGGTTTGGAAGGCATGGGTCAACCAACGTCCATCCTGCTTATTCTGAGATGTATAGAAATGAGTTCAAAGAAATAGACTTTTTTTTCCCTTCTGCCTTGCATTTCTTTCTTTCTTTCTCTCTTTTTTCCCCTCATTTTGCTTAATCTTGGGAATTAATTGAATAATTCAAAGCCCAGGGAAATTTTGCTATAAACTGGGGGACAATCTTAACACTATAGAATGGAGAAAGACTTTTTTTGTACCGAGTGAAAAAGACACTGGTGAAGCAGATGTGTTTCGATACTGCAATATATTACGGGACGGCATATACTTGGATGACCACATCACTACACGATCCTTTTAGGAATCAAGAGGAATATCTTTCCATCAGGAAAAGAAACCAGTATTGAATAAACACAAGCCAAGGTCAATAAGAAGAGGGGCGGGGGGAACGAACAGCTTAAAAAATTCTAGCAATTTTAAACTTTATGATTTTATTGCTTTGTTAATTTTGCCTCTGAAAGTTGAACACAGTCCACGATGACAGACTTTTTAAGCCTCTGAAATGCCTGACAGGCAGATGAAATGTAGTTTATTTTATTGTTCTTTTGGGAAGGGATTTTGTTTTCAGGGGGTGACCAGAGTAACCAATATTTAAATGTAGCCCTCAACATCAACTTTTCTACCTTCTCCAAGCAACACACACCAATAATCCTCAAAACCCAGAAGTCCTGCTCGACTTCTACGTTTAAAAAAAAAAATGACTTGAAAGAATGAATAAAGTGTTCTACCTTCACAAAAATAAAAGCTGAACAAACAAACAAAAAAATAAAAATAAAGACTCTATGGAACTAGAAAAAAACAGTCAACTGTTTACGTCGAATGTTAAAATTCAGGAGCTCAGTGTTTTACAAAAAATAATCCTGTTTTAGAACCTCTTGTTCAAAAGCAAAGTATTTTGAGCAATCAACCAAAATAGTTCATCTTTTTTTTCCTTCTATTTTTTTTTTCTGTAGATGTAATAAGACATTACAGGGCTTCTGTTTCACTGTGCTAGTTTGTTGAGGTGGTGTTTACAGAAGGCAAAGAAGACATACCTTTAAAATCAGACAGTTGCCAAATAAAACAATATTCTATAGCACAAAATACTGTTTGGGGTTGTTGGTGCCCGCAGGCCAGGAAAATCTTTTAAACAAAGTGTTACAAGGTTAAGGGGGAAAAATTAACATCTTTGCTAATGTTTAGTCCTGTTCAACATTAATGGAATTGTTAATATGACTTATATAGACCCACACAGGTTTTATTTTTGTGTCTTTAAAAGAAAAAAAGTCCAAAATATTTAAATTTTATGATCAAATATGCAGTCAGCAGCTGCTACTTTTTCCTTTATATATTAAATTTCTCATAGGTCTTTTATTGTTCAAATAAAACTAAGCTTGTGTGACCTCCAGTGCATATTAGACCATTCACTGTATGAAAGGGGGAAAAAGTTGGATTAAAAAATTTGTGAATTTTTAATAAAACTAGAAAATCTGATATTTAGATAAGCCGTGTTTCATTCAGTGCTTTAAACGTTGCTAAATGAGACTGTCCAAAAGAAATAGGTAAAAAAATGTGGATTTTATTTCAAGGAATTCTCTAAAGCAGTGTTTCTCAACCTTGGCAACTCTAAGATGTATGGACTTCAACTCCCAGAATTCCCCAGCCAGCATGCTTTAAGATGTATTTCAACTCCCAGAGTTCCCCAGTCAGCATGCTTTAAGACATGTAGACTTCAACTCTCAGAGTTCCCCTCCCAGCATGGTTTAAGATGTGTGGACTTCAACTCCCAGAATTGAAGTCCACACATCTTAGAGTTGCTAAGGTTGAGAAACACTGCTCTACATCATTGGTTCCCCCTCAAAATTCTACATGAAGCTAAAAGAAGTTTTGCAAGACAATCAAAAGCTGGGATTGGTTTTTTTTAATCATTAAGTCATTTTCCATACCATTCAGCTTGAATGTGACAATGCATATCTTTGAGTAATTTTGAAGGGAAAGCTAGCCAAATTCTCCTCTGATTACAACTGCAAATACAAATTACAAATCAGCAGTTTCCACCCTCTGGAGGTGTTAAAGACATGAAATTAAACATGTCCCAGGTTTCTAACGAGTGAGCCATCTCTGCTGTAAGGCCTGTAACAAGCGGATATCTCTGGCCAACACTGGATTTGATGGGACTTGGATCACTAATGCCTAAATCCAAACCCAGTCTCAGCCATGGAAACTCAGTGGGTGAGGCTGTGGTGAGGGAAAGCTGGAATAGATAATGAATCAAGACTGTTTCACGGGGTTTTTAAAATTGGAAGTGCCTTTAGAAGTTATTCTTCCTGGATCAGAAGTTGCCCCTGGGGAGCTGAAGACTTTCACAATCTGATAAACTGTCACACCCCATGAAGACCCAGGTAATGGGCATTTTCTACAGCAGAACGCGTCTGACCCGCAGCCCACTGAAGGACCAGATGGTGGGGTGGCAGAGGACTCGGTGAGGTCTTCAAAGATGGCACGGCGTGCCACGCAGTTAGACGGGCCACACCTCGGCTGCAAAAATCCAGGCAACCTCTAAGAACGTCTCTTTCCTACCCCCCAGTACCAATACGCATTTTTGCAGTCCAGAAACTATAGCTCTAAAAAAGAGAAGACAGATGTACCAGAACGTTTCTAAATTCTGGTCAACTCCATACAGGTCCCCATGCAGGCTTTCTTAGAAAATAAAAATGGTGGCTGGTTCTTGCCCAGCGCTGTGTTGGAACGGTGTCTCTTGACTGGAAGGGGGAAAAAGAGGCAAAAATAACTTGATGGGGCTAAGATCGATGTGGGGATTGGAAAAAACCAGCGTGCTTTCTGGTAAATGGATATTTGGCAATGGCCATGCTTAGTGTGGCAGTCATTTTGTGCAAAAGCTAGAACCCACCTCTTGGAAGCCATTTTGCAGGAGGTTCCACAACATCTTCCCAAATTACAGAGATCTCCAATGCATCCTATGCAAAGTAATGCAAGTGTACAACCGATGTGTGCATGTGCATATCTCTACACTATGTGTACATGTCAGCACATGCATACAAGTCATCCCAGGAGTGCCCGTGAGGGCTGTCAAAACAGTCAAGATGGTGGTGACCTTGAGCAAGCTCTGCCCCTTTTATGCACCTGTGTGAAAAGGGGTGGAGCTTTGCATGCACATTAAATTGCATGCATGTTGTGACCCCATCTTCTCTTTTTTGACCTCCCCCATGGATGCCTCTGTGTCATGCCTCTCTGCTCCACACTCGCTCAAGATTGCTGTGTGTCCATGACGGTGTTTGTGCAACAATCATAGCTACTTTTGTACCCCCTCAGACCCCAGATGCAACAAAGGAGGCCGGGATCTATCACCAAATAATGAAAGGAGGTCGACACGGAATCTAATGTCCTTTCTCTTGGGGAGGGATGGCATTTAAAATACTGGAAGGAAGGCAAGATCTAAATTTAATAAATGACTAAATTGGTGCAGCGAAGAAGTTTGGAACTTAGCATTGCAAGCGGCCATCTCAGTAGATGTCACTTGGTTGCATTTCTGGCAAAAAGGGATTCATGATTTTTTTCACAGGCCCACCTCCTGATGCCAAGAAAACCACATATATCTCAGAAACTCTAGGAGTTGAGTCCAACCTGAACGGAGTCTTTACTTTTGATTCTCTGGATCTCTCTCATTCCAACATCATTATTTTTTTTCCTTCTCTCCAGGGATGCGGTTCCCATAACCCTTACCTAGCCTGGCCTTGTCCATATAATTCCCATCCCTTTGGATCTGGAGGGCACTCAGTTGCAGAAGGTAGCTATAAACCCACCTGGATGCCCCCCCTCCACAGACCCAGATACCTCCCACCCTGATGATGTTCAGGCGGCTTTCGAAGACCTGGCCATTCCCCCAAGCTCCGGGGCAGAATGAAAGCTGAGTCCATGTTGGATGCATTTGGGTTGGCTCTGTGTCCTTGTGTTCATGATTTCTTTTTGTCTTCTGTAATTTTTTACTTTTTAGATTGTCAGCCGCCCAGAGTCATTGGGAGTTGGGCGGCCTATGAATTGTATAAATCAGTGTTTCTCAACCGTGGCAACTTTAAGATGGGTGGACTTCAATGCCCAGAATTCTCCAGCCAGCCATGCAACTTTGCCAACCTTGGCAACTTTAAGATGGGTGGAGTACAATGTCCAGAATTCCCCAGCCAGCCATGCTGGCTGGGGAATTCTGGGCGTTGCAGTCCACCCATCTTAAAGATGCCAAGGTTGTGAAATACTGGTATAAATGATCAAATAAATGAGGGAAGAGACAGTAAGGAGCTTATTTCTGAATAAACGTGTCCCAGATTGGGCTAAAATGTTTGTTTCTCAACCTTGGCAACTTTAAGATGGGTGGAGTACAATGTCCAGAATTCCCCAGCCAGCCATGCTGGCTGGGGAATTCTGGGTGTTGAAGTCCACCCATCTTAAAGTTGCCAAGGTTGAGAAACACTGGTATAAATGATCAAATAAATGAGGGAAGAGACAGTAAGGAGCTTATTTCTGAATAAACGTGTACCAGATTGGGCTAAAATGTTAATTGAAACAGAGAGTGACCCCATCAAGCATGCCTTGCCATAATATTTACTGCTTTTCTAGGTTGGAAAAAAAGCATTAATCTTGCGGGGGGAGGGGAGTATAGAAATGCAAATTTGATGTGGATCAATCTATTGACCTTGTTTTCCAGCAAGGCTGAATGCTTTGGTAAACACCCCTAGAAGCTACTGAATTCTCTGAGTTTTGTATTTTTCCCCCCCTTCCGTTCATGTTTAGGAAGCACCCGTTAGATTCAGTAGGATATATCCCCATCAATTTGCACTATTATGCTTTTCTGCAACCTTTTTCTTGTTCTGAAATGTTTCATACACTTTTGTTGTTTGGAAACCTGAATGCTTGTTCCGTATGCAGATAGAAAAATCTCAAGCAGG